AAACTTATTTGTCTGATGTCTGATGAATGAGGACAACACTTTTCTAAGCCTTAGCAAAACATTGTCATTATTCATCAGAAAATAAATTATAAATGTGTTTTCAAGACAATTGAGCCAGTAAATTTCATGACTTCGATCAAACATTGAAATATCGTTAAAGTCGAAACGGAAGTTTGTGCAGAGTAACTTAACCCAAACAAAATTCAACAGGAGATTGCGAACCAACTACCACAGCAAACAGAAGCTGAAACTGACTTAATGTTCAAAAATCACTCAGGGACGGTTTGCTTTCTAATACATACAAAGTCATATTTCCGAATGATTTCCATTTCAAACCGCTGAAGCCCACCCGAAGTGGCAACCAAAATGATGGTTATAAATAACGAAAGTTCCTGTTCACCGTTTCATTAAAATTAATTTCTTCGTTAATCGAGCGCAACAAACAGCTAAAAATAAGGCGCAAAGTGTTGCTCCTACTCCTAAAATAGAAAATATAGTTGTACTCAACACCTCTCAAAGCTGAAATTTTTTTTAGGACTTTTAGCTCAAGGTAAAATTTTTTTTTTATAAATAATTTTCTATAAATAATTCAAACGTATGCATTTCAAAATCTAACGCTTTATGAATACAAATGAGCTCTAAAAGTTATTTCCTCCACTAAAGCATAAAAATTATCGTCAGAAACTGTTTATTTTTAAAATATTTTACGAGAAATAACAGTCTGGAGGCACGTTTTCAAAACACTGCCAAACCCCTAAAGATACCTCGATACACTCGGGCGTTGGTAAGTTGTAGTTTAAACCGCAACGGCTTAAAATAAGTTGGAAGAGCATTAAGGGGGAATAACGGAAAGCGTTTCAAGATATAAAAAGCAGAACTAAAACCAAGGGAATAAAAATAGCAAAAAGCAGAATTGAAGCTGGGATAAGGTTGACAGTATGACGTAATAGTTACGTAAAACAAAAAGTTGCTCAATGCTTCAAACTTTGTTCTTAAATGGCAGATTTATTTTTGTTTTTCTCAAAATATTAGAAAAAGGTATATAATTATCGATCAATTACCAAACGATTTCCTAACCCTAAGCACTGTAAACGCAATGGGCCACATGTGAATCGAATTGATCAGTGAAAGACAAGGACGAAGGTGTTAAGTATTATTTAGGAAAGCGGAGTTTCCCCCGCCAAATTAGCCAATTTTAATTTGATTTAAATCAGTTTTACAGGATAATTTTTGTATCGGTCATTTTTTTTTACTTTCAGCCCAATTTTGGAGGTAAACATAAAAGACAGAGATAACGCTGCATGCTATTCTCGGAAAACTTCAGACTTCGGATCAGTACTTATACTGCACGTACGTGCTGGGCTAGCTAAGGTTGTCTATAGCCAATCTGAGCACATCATCCGACTCGAACTGGAGGAAGTTGAATCAAAAGCGAAATGAGTCATTTTCCTGAGGTACGTTCCGCTCCCTCTCTCTTTCCCTCTCTCTCCCTCTCTCTCCCTTTTTTTTTTTTTTTTTTTTTTTTTTTTTTTTTTTTGCACCAGTGGTTTATGCTGTAGAATTCTCTTTTTATTGGCAGTTAATCTCTGACTTATTATCTTTTAAGTATTTCACATTTAGCTACATTATTTACCACTTGTTGAACAGAGAAAGTTCCTATATTCTGGCCTCCACGTGCAATAATAGTCCTGTTTATTTAGTTCTATTGTAATTTCTTTTTTGTTTTTTAGTGATAGTTAAAATGAGAGTTCGACATTTGGTGGACGCTCTTGTCAAATTGTAAAGGTGTCGAATGCGAGGAAGTGCGAAATATAATGAATACCCAATCGATGGAAATCGATGATCTATACCTAACGAAATCGTGGTGTTAACGGAAAACTTTGACTTATCAATATTCAAAAGACAAATTTCCTCGCTTTAATTCTGATTGTACTGAATATCATTGATCATCAGCATTCATCGATATCTGCACGTACATGTATAAGACATGATTGACCCAAAGACTAATATAAAAAGCAAAAGGAGTCCAAAGTTTTGGTATGGATGTCGAAAGGACAACCACTTTCATAAGTTATTTCATAGCTATAAGTATGATGAATAAATAACTTGCACTTCTGTGTAAGCATCTCCTATTCTTTATTTATTCATCATGTTTTAATAATAATTTATCGTTTGGTCTACTATTCTGGTGAGATAGGAAACATCCTATTTAGCCTTCCTTGAATTTGATATTTGATAAATTTATTGTGGTAATGGTGAAACTTTGAACTTTTCCTGAAATTTAATTGCAATTTGCCAATTACGTTGTAAATTACCTCAAACAGAGAAAAATCAAAGAATTTGATTTGATCAAGGGGTGGAGTCAAAAATTGAATCAGCCAACGAAAGATAAAATTTTTTAACGATTAAACTCCCAACAGAGACGTTGATTCCAATTCACTCAGAATTGATCAAGAAAAAGTAACGAGATAAATAAGATTTTTCTCATTCTACTGTGCTCAGCATACTTGTATATGCCGTGGATGCTGAAACACGTCAAGAACTCATTATATTTTTCTACTGTTGCCTGCTAATGATGCTAAAACCAAATATCAGCCTAGCCGCTCATTTTCTGACAATTTTTTCGAGTGTGTGCAAGCTATAGCCTGTAAGTCACATAATATAAAGATATAGAATATGACTTTTAATTTTTCTTTTCCATCCCTTGTTGCGTCCTTTATAAGCATAAGTGATAAAGTACAAATTAAAAAATTCAAAATATTAAAAACAGTTTCCTAAAGCTTCTTCGTAGACTAACTTCGCACATTAATGTTGGTTATTTCATTTTGTACTCAAGCCTTGTAAAATTGAATCAATGACAAAATTAATTAATGGTCCTTACGAATGGCAGCCCGATATTTGTATACAGGTATGCCCTTCATTTAGTATTAACACCCTCCCGACTTTATTGAATTGGTTGCGTGTTAACAATAATATATAATAGCTACTATATAATCTTGTTAGCATTAAACGTACAACGGAAGGAAGCTATTTACCGCCTGACCTGAAGTAAAATTCATATAATGAAAGAGTCAATTATCAATTGACTGAAAACTAATTTACACGTAGATAAATAAACCATAGTAGGTAACAGGCGAAATAGAAGCAAACCCTCAGCAAGTCAGCGTTCATTCTCATCTGGTTGGTATCGTGGCTGTAGAACTACTCAAATGATAATATGATATGTTCCTATTTAGTGTAGTAAATTGACCTTCGAAACTCACTCGTAACATTTGATGAGTTGATTAGGACGCGGTATTCGATTTTTAAATAGATTAAATCCAACATGCAGCCACGCACAACTGTAGTTTAGAGCGCAGTTGAGTGGAACCCTTGGAACTATTAAATTACACTGTGTAGAACATGGTATGACGAAATCTAAATTGCTGATCATTATTATTATCATTCATCGCTAACTGTTTTCGTGCTTGGTCTGGGTGTGTAACTAAGAATCTCTTGGAATTGTTTTGTGGTATGTTTCCAATTTGACCACTATATTTTTTTGCGTATCGCAGATTCGTGTTTCGAAAGTGCTCCTCGTCTTCTTCCTGACGTTCTCATCCTTGCACGGCATCACACTACGTGGATCAAAACATGACAGAAAAAAGGTCAAATGGGATGAAAAAGAAAAACGAGTGCCTGTGGAGGATAATTACCTTGAAGTCTTTTCAAAACAAGACGACGCAAAACATGATCATTTTGGAATGATCGAGAAACGAGCCCTGAGATGCGGATATGAAGAAATTGTAGAAGATTTTAAGAATGCCAATGGTAAAGAAATTCGCAAAATGCTATGCAAATGTGCAGGAATGAGTTGTAAAGTCTCTTCCCCTACTATGATATGTCGTAAATGCAAACCATACGATAAGCAACAAAGCTGAGCTGTTCTTTTAGGGTGAACAAAACTAAATTAACAGCTTTCTCTACCATGTATTAAAAGTGCAAACCATGAGAAAAGCAGCAAAACTGTTTATTTAGAGTGAACGAAAAAATTAAAAAACTGAGTTGTTGTTCGTTGTACCACGATACAATCACTATTCACGGCTGAAATATCAGACTCAGAAATTATATTCTTGGACACAAAAGTGTACGAAAGCGAGAGGTTTAACAGGAATCGACCCTTGACCGGCCAAAAGGTATAATAAAGAGACAAGGACCTTCGAATACCTGAATTTTTATTCGTATCATTTGCAAGTGCAAAGAAGGAATCCGTAAAAAGAGAAGCGCTTCGCCTTCTAGGAATAAATTCGTCATGTTTAAAGAATAGACGATACCAAGATGAAATTTTGGAGAAATTTATCTTTAAATTTGATTTCTCTGGGAGTGAATGAAACGTCAAAAATACTTAGTAAATGGACGATAGACATTAGATGAGTGTATAAAAAGCCGGTTCTCGATCAAGATTTCAAAGATTTAGTCGAATAGTGCTACAAACACGGTAAGATTTTCCTTTTCTGTGATACAAAAAATACTCTCTAAGGCCACTACCCCCGCAATGCTGTTTGAACGTGGCCCTTGAAAGGAAAAGCAAGGTCGATGGATGCTCGCGCAAATTTCTCGCGATGGCCAAGGTCGTGCTACGGTAGTCACGCACTCATATCAAGAGATTAGAATAGTGAGGTGTTTTCGTATAAAACAAAGACGTGTAAAACGTGTTTTCGTATAAAACAGAGAAAAAAAATCTGAATGACAAGAATAAAAATTTATTATTGCTACTGCAACACAAAGTGAGGCTGGAAGGTATTTTAATCGTGAAGCGTGTTATCGTTATTCTGTTGAAGGCAGACAGTTAGAGAATAGAAGGCTTACAGTGATTCAGAGCAAGAGCGTGAACGTGACACGACATCTCAACCCGCGATTACTTTGATTTCTTTCAATACTTGGTATCCCTAACTTCTACTAATGTGAAGTCACGACAAATTTCTGAATTTCTGACTTTCTGACTTCCCCCCCCCCCCCCCTTTTGATTAGATAAGGCATGATACGAAAACAATGAAAAGCGTGTATGTGCACTTTTGCAAAGTTATTGCAGTTAAACTTAATATTATATTAAACCTATTTGTAACTTAAACAATCAACCAGCTTCTTTTCCCAGCTTTCCTTTTCAACTGACTTTGCGTAGTCGATGTAACTCCGTTTTTGAAGTTCCTTAGGAAGCTTCCTTCTGTCAACATCATCGATCTTGATGACAACTAAACTATCATCTCTCTTTTCCATAAGTCGATGAAGGGCGTAATCCAGTTCTGACCCACAATACTTACTGTTGAAAAAGTGAGTGGACACAACGGCGATGGTTTTCTTGCACTTGTAAACGCTATCCACCATATTTTTCCTAAAAGTTACTCCGGGGGTAAAGTCTCGGTAGTGCACACAACACTTCATTCCATGGTTTTCCTCCAAGGTTGGAATTAAGGTGTTTATCACCCACTGTGAGTCCTCGGAACTGAATATAATGAACGCGTCGTACTCAAATTCCGGATCTGCAACAAAAAGCGCATGGGATAAAATATGGTAATTAAACTGACCCGAGTGCAATTTGCATAGGTAATAAGATAATTTCGAGTGGAATTTGGGATAAATCAGCACGAGTAAATTTTTCAAAGGCAATTTCTAGTCTTTGATAAATTTACGAGTGCTGATTTATCCGAAATTGCAAGATAAAAATAATCTGATTACCAGTTATTAAATATACAAGCTAAGATATGACTCTGTTTTCCTTTTTGGTTGTCTTTATTTCGAGTCATAGCCCGCCAGTTCGGCCGCTTGCCTTTGCCTTGTGGCCAGAATATTCGAGCTTTTTCGTCAATAATTTGCTTCAAACTTTTGAAACCTCTCTCGAGAATAATTGAGCGTTTGCATTCTTTCTCTGTTAGGTATCGGTCAACGGCAGTAACATTACACGAAGACTGTCACACTCGTGATCTTCTGCGTCTTTCGTACGAACTGTTGCGTAAAACTCCGAGAGAATTTTTATTCAGAGCCTCCGGTTCATACTTTCAAATCCGTTTTTGGAAGCCATACTATAGCCAGTTGTTTTTCCTTTGTTGGGTGTTTCTGTTTTTAGAATGCTCCCTCAAACTCTGAATTAAAACGTTGTTACTCTCTCCTTATCTGTCCGCTATTTTGTTTTGTTTTGTTTTCGCGACTTACCTGTCAATCAATTCAATTTCAAGTTTCTGCACCAAATTTCAACTTCCTACACTGTTTGGGATTATACGACGTGTTATCAGCTAATGACCATGGTTAAATTTTGCATTTGTAGTAGAGGGTCTGAAATCATACCCTTGATTTCGAAATCGAACGAGCGGGCAGCTTGAGTTTTATTTGAAATCATAAGTATTATTTTCAGACAAAAATTATGCTCCATTCCGTCCATTACCACTTCATTTCATCTATTTTGAAATAACAAGAAATCAGTCACACAAATACAAGTTTTTAAATAAAGACCCGATTTAGAGGAAAAATTGTGTTTCGTAAATAAATGACATAATTAACCACCTTCACTAACCTTAATTCCTATTGAAAATGATACTTACCTAACGTTGGAGGTAAAGGGCGACGACGACAATAGAAAACTATCAAGCCAATCAGAACAATTGCAACTATTGTAGAGAGGACAGCTGCAATAATGGCAGTACCTTTCTTATCACTGTCTGTAAGAGAGAGATGAGGCATATTTCTAAAAAAAATTGCTGTATGATCGTGTATATTTACTGCATATGAGGCATATACTGTTTTTGCGATAAAAAAGAGAAAAATAAATAATTTAACCATTCCCAGGTAGCAATCAAAACTGCCAGTGACAAACTTTGAGATCGTATGTTGTGGTTTTTCAAGAAAGTTGTCTCTGTACCAAATATAAGTTTTTTTTTATAGGATAACGCAGAGACTAAGGTGAGGTTGCACAATATCAGAAAAACAACTTGCCGACTAGCACCTCACAATCACCCATGGCTGACAAAAAATTTCGGTGTCCTCGACTCAGTGAAAAGAATAGTAAATTGTGGTGAACAATATCTTCCCACGATCTATATCTTACAGGGAATACGTACGTTTGGGCCCTGATTCACAACAGAGTAATGGTGTCATGAAATAAGATCTCAAATAAAGAATAGCAGACAACAAAAACAGGGAATTAGATTCAACTGCCCCTAACCAACAGGTGCGAATCAGGCTAACTAACATAAGGTTTTCAACCTGGTGGGGCAATATTCCTATACTCCCAGTGTTCCACACTAATTGGTGGAAATTGAACCAATGCAAGGGAAGTTATGAATAGTCCTCCATGTATTAAGCCCCACCGCTTATCCCCCTCTCATATTTCTGTCCAGTTTACATTCGGCTTTCTACATTTTAATAAAATTCCTTGATTCTTACTCTGTTTAAGGCTGTAAATTTTCAAACCTACCTGTAGAATGAGTTGCGTGGACTACAAAGAGAGAAAAAATCAGAAGGAAATTACTCTGGCTGTCGGAGCTGGGGTGGTATTTTGAACAGTTCTCTTAAAGAACATATCATAAATAATAATATTATATGTAGTAACAACGCTGATTATAATTGTCTTATAATGTGGAGTTTTTTCGATGAAAGTGACTTTAAAACTTGGGATAAAGCTTTATATTTTCGAACTTACCTGTAGACTGAGTTGTTTGGACTAAAAAGGAGAAAAAATCAAAAGCAAATTACAAGTTTCCCTATGGCATATATAATATAGAATATATCATAAGTACCAAAATTACAAATAGTGGCGTAGATGATTATAAATTAAGACGCATTAAACCGTGAAGTGATATCTTATTAATATAAATAGAACTATAAAAAGGACCCTTGAAAGGCCCACATAATAATCAATCTCTGTTTCATTAAGTTTTTAAGTTTAAGGGGTAGTGGACAGTTGCCCAGATATTGACTGATATTGATCCCAAAGGAGGATAGATGAGAAAAATAGTACATTGACTATCTTAAGATTATTTGCAAATCTAAAAACCTTGCAACACATTGCCCCTTTATTGTGTGAATATTGTAGACATCGTGGCTGCTACCACCCTATTGTTAAGAATAACACAAAACTGAAGCACTACTTAAAAAGTAGTTAAGAGAAGAGGATTCAAGAACGTATTAGGAATAACACCTTACGAGCTTTGAAAATCAAACATAATTTTCTCTCCTGGAACCTTCTCTGAACCCAAGCAGGATAAATTTTTGGAAACTTATCTTGAAAGATCTTCGAAGGATTTTTCCAACCGAGAAGACTTTTTGAAACTAAAGACAGTATTCAATAAATGGTATCACTGTGCCCACTGATTGGCGGTTATTAAATACGGATTAAGGCTTACACCCTTACGACCACGTCGAGGACATAACAGTCTTTTCTCTACAATAAATTTGATAACTGTTTGATTTAAAAAGAGTATGAGGATGAATATGATGCACTAGAACGGGGACACATATGGTATATAGGCTTGGAATTGGAACTCAGGATGACGCTGTAGATGAAATTTTGCTCTAGCAGCTCTCCCCTCTGGTGAGGGTGTTGGCACTTCGCAAACTGTATTTAAAATGAACAATGTTTCAGACATGTGTAAATCTATCATGCTCTCTTA